GCTTCCTCGCTTCCACATCCTTCATCTTTTCGGCATCGACAAATGGGCTGATGTCAATCACAGGCAGCGTTGGCGGGGTGCCTGGAATTGTTTCTTCATTTGATTGAATCATCATCCTCTCGGTTTGTGCCTCCATCAACGTGGCTGTCCTTCGGCCAAAACTTCACGAAATAATAATTGTTGTAGGGGCAGACGTGTGATCCTGACCTAAGGTTACAGTTGTCTGTTTCACACACAAGAGCACACCGCTCAACAAAATGACTAACTGCTTCTGGAAAGAGCCTGACAGGATGTCAAGAAGAGGTTCCATCCCAAAGCAATTATGCCACAGCATCCTGCAGCCTTCATAGCTTCTTCAAATCCTGTGTGCCCATCTTCCCATATATCATACAGGATCTTTCCATCTCTCATCAATCATGAGCCTATTCTCCATGTTCACACTATGCTGGGCTATGACCCTTCTGCCTACATGGCACACAAGTATGCCCACATCAACTACCAGAAGAGGAGATTTGCCTCCCTAAGGCAAACAGTCTCCCCATTCCTGTACTACAAGCAATGTGTGGGAAGCTCCCACAAATCACACTACCAGAGATCAGTGTAGATAGCAAGCATTTACCACAACCATAAAAATAAATATTGAAATTTTTGCATGTTGGTGGCTTTTTATGAAGCTGTCTGTTTCATGGGGTTGGCTCTTTGTTTGCATGGTTCATCACTGGCTTGGTTTGGGTATCTGTCAAAGTCCTTCATGAGCCTGCCTGCTCTGTACACTTTGGCTTGGTGCCCAGTAATCAGACTCCACAACATCACAGCTAAGGAGTGCACTGCAGTGGCATTAGGTCCATGCATCACCCCCCCCCCAACCACCACCAAGTACTGCACAGTAGTGCAATTGTGTGAATACTGGTGCATGGAGTTACCAACCTTTGATGTGGATGAGGTAGACATGATCTTCAGGCATGGCATGATGCAGCACCCACCAGAATGCATGCATCACACTGCTCAACCCATCAACTGCAACCATGTACTTCATCTTAGTGTGGAGGTAATCGTGGAGCTGTTAGTCTGCCATTTGTGCTTTGCTGCTCAATAAATTTCGTTTGCCAATTCTTGGAATTAGCGCGATTCTTGACGAAATCCGAGGCACATTTACAATGTTGCACATTTCGCGCACAATAGGTGATTGCCAAGAAATTCGTGCAGTGTCGTGTTTCCCTGCTTTTCTCGGCGTTGTGGATTAATCCATCATCTACGATTTTGGTTCGATCGGAAGAATAGAAATACGAACATGAGGCGCGCTACTGCTTTGTTCTCCGCTCGTGCTGCTCCTTCCGCCGCTGGTGCCTCGCGAGGAGCCGCCCGTCGTCTCTATGCCACCTCCACTGAGTCCTCGGTGCTCGATACCGTTCTTCCCGCCACAGGTGCGTGATCGCTCCAATTTTTAGCTTTAATCGACCCTTCGATGCTGAGGGGGAGAATTTCCCTTTGTCTATAAAAGGTGCCGGCAAGCACCGCCTCTACCGCTACACATCGATCGGCTTGGTGACCCTCATCCCCATCGCCCTGGTGGCCCCCTCGAGTGTGGTCCTCCCCGTCGATCTTGCCCTTGGCTTCCTTCTCCCCATCCACGCTCACATTGGCATGGCCCACATCGTCGAGGACTACGTACTT